AATAGATCTAGGATCCACTTGGTTTGAAGAGCTTTTATTTGGGTGGCCGGGTCAAGGACACCAAGGCCCCCCTGGCTCTTTTTTCTTGTCACATAAGATCAATGCAAAGAAGTGCGAGTGGGCCAAGACACAAGTTTTGTACTTGGGCCATGTGTTAGACGGAGATGGGATCAAACCTGAGGACAGCAAGATAGCGGCAATTAGAGACTGGTCGACGCCCCGCACATTGACAGAGTTGCGGTCGTTCTTAGGCCTAGCTAACTACTATAGAACGTTCGTGAGGAACTTCTCTACTATCACGTCTCCCTTGCGCAGGTTGCTTAAGAAAGAGGCAATCTGGCAATGGGACAAAGACCACGGACGCGAGTCAGTATGGTATAGGCGCCGTGTTGCAGCAAGACGACGGCAATGCATACAGACCCGTAGAGTTCATGTCAGCGAGGATGCCCTCAGAGAAGGTAGCTACCTCGACGTAGGAGACAAAACTTTACGCTCTCAGGCAGGCTTTAGAGCACTGGAAGCAGTACATGCTTGGGAGGCACTTCAAAGTATATTCTGGCCATGAGACACTTAGATGGTTAAAGACCCAGGCCAAGATGACACCTAAGTTAACTAGGTGGGCCGCTGAGATAGACCAATATGACTTTGAGCTCAAACCGGTTAAAGGCAAGTACAATGTAGTTGCGGATGCTCTGAGTAGGAGATCAGACTACTTTGGAGCCATAGTGCACTATCTGGACATAGGAAAGGACCTGCAAGAGAAAGTCCGACAGGCGTATGCGCAGGATCCTATCTATAGTGATCTCCTCAAGAGAGTTAAGGAGGCCCCAGAGACCGAACCAGACTACCGCACTACTGAAGGACCATTGTTTGAGAAGACTAATGTAGTAGACCGCCTGTGCATTCCCAACAGTGAAGAGATCCGTAGTTTGATCTTAGGGGAATGCCGCGACACAGAAGGACACTTCGGTTGGCAGGAGACTTTAGCCAATCTGATGCGTGTGTATACCTGGCACGGAATGAAAGCTGATTGCATAGAGTATGTTCGCGGTTGCAAAGTTTGCCAGAGGAACAAGACCACTACGCGTGCCCCTCTCGGTCTTCTCAGACCCTTGCCTATCCCATACCAGCCAGGAGACTCAGTCTCCATTGATTTTATGGATGCCGGTGTCAAGAGTGGACATGGCCAGAGCCAAGTCATGGTCATAGTTGACCGATTTAGCAAGTATGCTGTTTTTATTCCTTTGCCTACAGAGTCACGTACCGAATTAGTCATTCAGAAGTTCTTTGATTTTTGGGTCAGTGAGCATGGAGTCCCGCTGTCTATAGTTAGCGATAGAGATAGTCGCTTCACCAGCCAGAACTGGCAGGAACTCATGAGAGTCTATGGGTCAAAGTTGCTGATGTTGTCTGGCCGCCATCCAAAAACTAACGGTCAGACTGAACAGATGAACAAGATCCTGGTAGGCGACCTGGTCTGGGTCAAGTCTAAAGAGTTTGCACCTGAGAAGAACATCTCGCACAAGTTACTGCCCGCATATAGAGGACCGTGGCCCGTTCTAGAAGTAAAAGGGCGGAGAGGATGGAACGTCCTACACGATAGAAATACCAGCGCACCTCCACACTTACCCCGTATTTCACGCATCAAAATTGTTGCCGTGTGTCACAAGTCTAGAGTTTCCATCTAGACGGTCCATGATCCCTCCAGACATGGACGGAAGATATGACATTGACGACATTGTAGGTGAAGATGTGTTTAGAACTGGAGGTAGAGGTCATCCACAGAAACAGTACAAGGTCTGGTTCGCCTATCAGGAGCCGGAGGATGACCGCTGGTTCATGAGATTAGAACTTCTAGAAACAGCTCCCTGTATAGTTAGAGCCTATGAGAGGGACAAGAAAGGTAAAGGTCCAGCCTTGGACTGAACTATTCTCGGAGGATCTCGAATTTAGGACGGCGGGAGTGAAACGGTATTCACCAGTTCGCGGTAGCTGATGCAGATTCCAGGGTTCGATCCCTAGACCCCAACCTTACCTGTGTATAGTACCAGCGTCGACCCTTAGAGTTGAACCCATGACCTGCGTATTTGTAACAGTGGTAGGCTGTTGTAGGGTCCTGAGGTCACAGGGGTTCGAGCTGTAGACCTGTTGAGTAGGAGTCTTAGTCAGGTCTAGACATTGTAGCTGTAGCTTTCCCGAAAGGTCAAGGTCGTAGCTGCTACAGTCCAGAAGGGTCAGAGTCGTAGCTGCTACAGTCGCGAAAGGCCAAGTCTATGGCCTTCCGGAAGGCTCCAGTAGTGGCCTTTCGAAGTTGCCCACGTTTTAGGCAGAGGCAAGTGGCCAAGTGGTGAGGCAAGTGGGCAAGTGGTAGAAGTCTACCGTGCTGAGTCAACAGTCCCAGTCCCCAGTCAGTCAAGCAAGTACCACATGGGACTGTGTGCACTTCGGGCATGGGAAAAGGGCCAGACCAACGAGCTGCAGAAGTATAAATCAAGAGGCAGCGCCCAGCCATGGATTTCATTCCTGCGTGAGCCATGCAGAAGCGCTGCCACAGCGACTTGTGCAAGGAGGTCTGCAGTGAGCCCGGAGCTGAAGTGGGCGAGAGAGGTGGAGCGTAGCATAGCGATAGGGTAGTTGCGGCCATAGCCGCCATAGCTAGAGTAGTGCTCAGTGTGTGTGTGTGTGTGTGAGTGTTCAGAGTGAAGCGTGTGGGATATCCAGGGTAATCCGGTGTGTACGAACAGAGAGTTGTTTGGGCGCTAAGTCGCCATAGTCATTGGAAGTGAACTCTTATCTGGGTTGCCATATCTCTGAGTATTGAGTGGSCGCATGTCGCCAGTTGCTGCGTTACTGTTTGAATACATGCAAAGTGTGAATGAGAACGAGTCTGATTGCAGAACAAACTATAAGCGCCCATAGTGCAAACATTAAGAAAAAAAATAGGCCAAAGAAAACGGAAAAAAAAAAACAAAACACAAACTCTCGGGTGACGCCCCTGCAAGACCCGGTTGCCAGTCTTGGGAAAATGTTGGGGACAGGGGGGCCGGGCCCAAGGGAAACTGCATGTGAGTTCGGCAAGGCGTCGCGTGTTCGAATACAAGTACATTGTGCAGAGCCTTTCATCGGGTTACTTAGTTTTCAGAGGTCCCGTGATTTGATTTTCAGTTTCAGCAGTACCGTGATTCGGTTTTCAGCTGCACAGCTGGCAGGGGCGTTTACTTCATTTCTTTGTTTCTTGGCGCGGCATCCAGTTTGTCCTTAGGGCCCTCCTCCACTACTCTGCAAAATGATACTGAATCTTGCACTAGGACATGGGAAGATACAACGCCGTTTCATGTGTTTTTTGTTTTTTTTCATGTGGCTTCTTTTTTTTTCTGTCGTTTGGGCCTTCGCTCCATGACCCTCCACATGCACAAATTAAGTTTGGTGATGTATTTTTCCATGTTCTAGAGGAGGATTCGTTTCTTTTTTTTGCCCTTTTTTCTTGGCCAGTAGCAGGGCCAGGGCTTTTGCTGCACGACTCTCCACATGCACAAAAGATGGGCCTCGCTGCACTACTCTTGACATGCGCAAAAGACAAAAATCATGGCCGTGTATCTTTCCATATTCTAGCGGACGATTCACTCTCGTTTTGCACATTTCCAGAGTAGTGCAGCGAGGACCGATGTGTATCTTTCCACGCTCTCCATGTTTAACATGAGAACAATTTCTCCTCTAGAACATGGAAAGATAATGGCAAACTTTTTTTTGTCTTTTGTGCATGTGGAGGGTCGTGGAGCAAAGGCCCAGGGCCCCCTACTGGCCAAATGTCCATGTGAGAACCAATCCTGTTTTTACTTTTTTTTTTTGGGGGGGGGGGNGCCAAATGTCCATGTGAGAACCAATCCTGTTTTTTCTTTTTTTTGGGGGGGGGGGGTTGGCGGAAGAACGAATCCTCCTGTAGAACATGGAAAGATACACCGCCACTGTTTTTTTAATTCCCCCCTTCTCTGACAGCCTGGAAATGTGATCCGGGGGGGTTGGCAGAAGAACGAATCCTCCTGTAGAACATGGAAAGATACGCCGCCACTTTTTTTAAAATTTCCCCCCCTTCTCTGACACCCTGGAAATGTGATCAGCAGGGCGATGGCCTTTAGATACCATCATTGAACTGACAGGCCCCGTGCAATTTAGAATGATGTTATTCTTTTCATCTGGAGGTATCTGGACTGGATTCGAACTTGAGTCTGTATTTCAACAGTGCAGGGGTGCACCAACTGAGCTAGGCCCGTTGGTGATTTGTGGTATTTTGTTCATCTGCTTCCAGTGAAGTTCCAACAGTGCAGGGGTGTACCAACTGAGGGCCTACTTACACTACCACGATCTTGAATGTGCCCGACCGCATTTATGGCCGGAATTATAGTCATCTGACCAAGGTTCCATCCACAAATAAGTAAAAAAATGGACCATTTCTTGATTTATGTGTGTCATCCTTGGAATCCTGGCACAGGGGCCATGCTAATCTTCACTGTGAGGACTGGCTGATGCGTTCGGGTTCGGCTGAACATTTTTATTTTTTTTGTGTGGTTTAACTCTCTGGGTTCAGTATACCACCAGTGCAGTGACATGGCCCTTCTTCAAGTTTTATCTCATTTCCCCCTCTGGACCGCGGCTTCGCCGCGGTGCGTCCAACTTGTCGTCATTAATGATCCAAACACTTCAAAACTGGGCGCATGACATACCCTAAAGCACCTACACGAAAAAAAAAGGGCAAAAAATGAGAGCAAATGACGGTTTCAGTGCTAAATTCGGCCAAAAAAACACCCCTGGTTAACCACGTGTTCTACACTTGGCCGGGAAAGAGTCTGTATACATTCATGATGAAAGGGATATATGTTTGGGGAATAAGGAGGTTCAACAGAATCGGGACAAGTGGCAGAAGGTTCTTTTTTTTTTTTTAATCATGAATTCAGACACGTGTGGCTACTACAGGGGAAGCTGGGAAAGATCAGGCGAAGGCTCATTAATATTTTTGCAGATCGCTGCCAGATAGGAACAGTGGCACCCATCAATGGTGGGAGAGAGGGAGGTAATGAGTTGGATGCCGGGGGGAGCTGCTGAGTTGTGCTGGGATAGACAAAAGATAAATCTTACTGTGGAATACTGGCATATGGCCCTGATGAATGGCTCTCTGAAAGGTGGACAGTGGGGCTAAGCTTGGCCAGACAGAGTTCACTTATTCCTTTTTCCTTGATCAGCACTTTGTTTCCCATTCTGGTTCACCTCTGACATCTTTTTCATAATGAATGAATTTGTCTGTGTGCAGGCAGGCACGTACATCCCAGCGAATTAACTGGTGCACCTTTGGGATATAGTGGTGGTGTAAGGGAAGCAGGATTGTTGTCTCCTCAGGTAGTACTGCCCAATCCTCTTTTTTTCTTTGTGTGGGGGGGGGGGGCGGSGGGGGGAACCATTTCTCAGTTTATGGGTGTCATCCTTGGGCAGGGACCATGCTAATCTTCTCTGTATCGTTCCAATTTTGACGGATGTCTCGGAGGACACTGCCCAGTCATTTTGAGTTTTTTCATGCAACGATTCTTTCCTTATTATTTATCTAAAGAACAATGGACCCCATTTCTAGCAATGTTGTTATTCACTAAGGAAAAAGAAAAGGTGTTATTTAATGGGTGGAGTGGCTGGGGTTCAGCTTTGCAAAAGAGACCACCGGAGAACAGAAAGCCACATACTGACGGAGGTAGTTTTTACCTTTTGAAATGGAATGAGCTGTCAATGTACTTGTGTGATATTCCCTTATTTGCTGTTCTTAAACCACCAGTACCTCGGAGCCTGTTTTTCGGACTTTTTTCCGAT